ATAGTAATGATAATAATAATAATAATAATAATAATAATAATAATAATAATAATAATAATAAGGAAAGCAAGAATAAGAACAGAAGTGATATGATAATAATAGTCAGAACAACGAGCCATTTAGAATGTTGTGCCTCATTTAATAAAACGTTGTCAAAAGTTTTTACTTACTATTTCAGCACCTCTGTATAATATTTTTTTACGAAAAGGTGTCGTCTAGATCTTGATTTCTCTTAAGAAAAAAAATGACATCACCCCCCCCCCTCCCCACTCCCGCCCTCCTTTTTTGGCGTCGATTTGTTTAACAGTAATTCCAAATTCTATTCAATTTATCAATTTAATGTAATTTGACAAACGCATCGTCATTTTTGGATGAGAACTATTCATTTTGAGTCAAACTTTATTTCCCTTCTAACGCCCACAACCTCTATGATCCTGAATCGCTCAACGTATAGTATTTCTTTCCATTACAAGGACATTTTACAAACTATTTGCTCTAGATCTGAGCGCTACTTTTCAAACCCGTGAATAAAGGTCGCACCGACTGCTCTTACGAGATCAAAGGGACATTTATCGATAAAAAGCAAAACGATTTTTTCAAATACATTTGAACCTGCTCTTACGACCACTTGTACAAACGATCTCTTTACACCCTCACTTGGGATTTTAAAAATTATTATAATGACACTGACCAAGAAGACAACCTGTCTAAGACGACCATTTCCTCCTCGACTTTGGGTGGTCGTCTTAGACAGGTTCGATAATATTATTTTCAACTGCTAACAATGGGTGCGTAGACAAAATGCACAGATGATATTAATATTTAACACATACCTTCCGCCCCAAACGCCACCTGAAGGGTTTTTATAATAATTATAATTGATTCAAAATCTCTTAACGTCTTCCCACTCACGCTATTTTAGTATACCAAAGTTTGTTAAAGGAGTCGGGACTGCACCATAGTGTCTGATGCTGCACATTGATGAATGAAATGACTTGCCTTCTGCGAAATTCACACGTTGTTTGAACACATAATATTCTTTTCTCGGGGTTTCTTCATGTTCTCAAAAGCTTCCATGGTGCTGGTACCCTAATCGATTGAACTACTATGCAGATGGCGCTGTTTTAAATCTCAGAAACGCTGTTTATACAGTTTTCAAGGCCTTCCATCTACTTGAACTGGGTCTGTCGGAGATGAAATCTTTAGTTCAGAGATCGCGTGTTTTGTGTAAGTTTGCGGGATTGAAAGGGGCGTTTCATCAAACCTTGCACTGTTATTACCCCAGTTGGGGATAACTGGTTGACCCTGCAAACCAAGGTGGGGGGATGTGTGTGCGAGTGAGAGGTTGAAAGGGAGAGATTGAGAGAGAGAGAGAGAGAGAGAGAGAGAGAGAGAGAGAGGCATTCAGACACAAACCCCATACAGACAGACAGAGAGACAGACAGACAGACAGATAGACGGACTGGCAGACAGACAGAGAGACAGACAGAGAGAGTGAGAGAAAGGGAAAGAAGAGATAGTATTTTTGCACGATGTTTGTTCTGTACACGTTCTGTCTTTCCTCTCCAGTAGATATTATTTCTCCCCTCCCATAATCGCTCAACATACCGTACCACATATTATTATCATATTATTTACACACAAAAGAAATAGTTACATTATATATGAGCTACGAGTCACTCCCACCTTCTATAAACTATGAAGTAGTCTCCGTAACTTTAGCGTGTAGTGTCCGTAACTTTAGCGTACTGCATAACTACAGACCTCGGTCACACTGTTCACTCTTATTGTTTCTCTTCCAATGGCAAAGAGTGGTGAGCTGTGGCATCGATAAATCGGGATCTAACAAAGGTAGGTCAATAGATTATTTTATATCAATATTATGCCTAAGGCTAAAAACTGCTTCGCTTGTTGCTACACATTCCGTCAAGTTCAAAATAAAAATAATTTCCTTTTCTTCTTCTTTTTCTCCCTCTTCTTCTTCTTCTTCTTCTTCTTCTTCTTCTTCTTCTTCTTCT